GATCTGCCCAGAAAAGACACTTGCATACCCCCGCCGAGAGCTGGCCTGTGCACTGACACCCGCGGGCTTGTGCTTTACCAGCTTCTCCTGGGTATCCAATACAACACTTAGATCCTAGTGTAGTCTCACTACTGCTTGAGAGTTGGTAGGTTCCTGGACATGAAGAAATCCTTAAAAAAACTGAGTAGCACCAGAGACTTGTACATTAAAGTTTGACATATGACTTTGTAAAGCATCTTATTAATGCTGCCCCTTTTGACTAAGCTGGAATGAATTCATATTTGTGTCAGCTCCTTTCTAACGACCTAGATTAAACCAGCCAGGCAGAGTTGTTTCAGCTTGCATCACTTCTAACCAACACTATTAATAAGCATTTAGTACACTCTCAGCTGCCCTATGGTCTCCCCTTCTTAGGTCACTGGGGCATCTATTACAAGCTGCATAAGTAGTTTTCACACCAAATTTGAGCATGTCATTACTGACATGAGTACACTTTAAAAATACACCTCTGGGGAAAAAAAGATATCACCACCAGGCTAGTTTTAGTGTATGTTTCCTCAATTTCTGATAAGCCTAGCTGCACTGCAGCTCTCAGTGCTTTGGCTTGAGGAGAATTTCCTCCTTTCTTACACAATTCAGGACTGGATACATAAAAAAAAAAAGATTAAAAGAAAGGGGAATTCTTCCCTAAACACTTGCTGTGGTGCATGTGGCAAATTCCCACAAAGTCACACATTCTTGCTTGCTTTATTCCTTTCATGTTATGTCCTCCCAGCACAGAGGAGAAGTCTACTTTAAAAACAAGGAAAATCCTAGACTGTATTTAAGGTGAATGAAAGAATTTATAATCTGTTCCCAAAACTCTGAACATGTCCTATTAACATATAGCAAAGATGCACAGCTGAGCAACTGGAGATGCTTTAGAAGGCACAGGCTAATCCTATCCCATTTTCCTTTGGATTTTCATCATGGCTCAGGTAACCTCACTGAAACTCTTTACATTTACTTTCCACTCCAAATTCAGCTATGTCCAACTCAAAATCTGCATTCCAGATGTGAGCCCAGCAGTTCAAATTCTTTCATAACATCTTGAATTAAAAAAAAAAAGTCACAGAATTGCATTGGAAAGATTCTCTGGTTTCCAGTCCAGCCTCATGCTCAGCGGGAGCATGGACTGTACCTGCAGCACTGCACCAGTCACAGCTTATCTAGCAAAGTCTTCCAAGCCTCCAAGAACAGAAGGTGTCCAGACACCATTTCCCAAAATTTCAGCTGTCCAGTGAAAATCCTTCCCTTGTGTCCAATCTGAACCTCCCAAGTTATGGTTTGCAACCACTGTCTACCAGCACCAAGAAGAGCGTGCTCACAGGTTGTTGGAAGTACTCAACTGCTTTCATAGAATCACAGAATGTTGTGAGCTGGGAGGGACCCACCAGGATCATCCAGTCCAACTCCTGTCCCTGCACAGGACAATCCCAACATTCACACCATGTCCCTGAGGGCCTTGGCCAAATGCTGCTGGAATCTTGTCAGGCTTGGTGCCATGAGCACCTCCCTGGGGAGCCTGTTCCAGTGCTCCACCACCCTCTGCCTCAAGAACCTTTTCCTCATGGCCAACCTCACCCTCCCCTGCCACATCTTCCTGCCATTTCCTCTGCTCCTGGCATTCGTTGGTGGCCAGAGAGAAGAGATCAGCGCCTGCCCCTCCTCTGCCCCTTGGGAGGAAGTTCTAGACTGTGATGAGATCTCCTCTCAGTCTCCTCTTCTCCAGGCTGAACAAACCAAGTGACTTCAGCCTCTCCTCATACAGCTTCCCCTCTAAACCCTTCACCATTTTTTGTCCCATCTACCTTTCAGGCAGATTGCCCTCATCCACCTCCTCCCCAGGCTCCACAAGCTGTCAAACTCTGGCAATCTTGGCAGCTTTTTGACTCTCCCAGTTTTTCTACATCTCTTCTGATCTGGAGGCTCAAAACTGTAGAAAGTCCTAAGTTCAGAAAGCTGTGGGTCATGTCAAAGTATCAGATGCTACACTGCTTTGTACTCTGAGTTTAGTTGCAAAACTTAGTAGAAAAACACAACTTTTCTCCTCTTATCTGGTCAGAGACAGTTTTACTCTTTCACCAGCACCCCACAGCAACTGCTGGTTGAACTGCAGGCTTGCAGCTACCCTTGTAGGGCTAATTACTGAAGATAGCAGGTCCTTTCAGATGTTAAGCTTCATTTAGCAGGCATTAAGCAATGCAATGCTTTAGTGTTCAGCATGCATTACAAAAAAAATCCAAGGATTTTAATTGCAAATTAAAATTTCCCTTTCAAGGCTAGGAAACACCACATAAAAATTAGTTCTTCACAATTAATTCTGCAACAATCACTTCAAAATTCACACTCTTGTGGAGAGCCACAGATCTGCCACTGTGGCTCTGAAAACCCACAAACCACAGCCATGCTTCTCAAGGGACACAAGAGGGAGAAGAGAGCGCTCCTTACTCAACCAGGACAGCGAGGACTGCGTGGAAGAGAGGTAAGGCAGAGGGTTAAACGTTGTGGAGGGCTAGCCTGAAGACTTCGTTGGTGCACACCCAAGCACCGTGAAAACTTTTCAACAAAAAGGTTTGCTGGAAGCCTAGAACCTGGTCATCATCTGCCTGAGCGTGACAGGAGAAATATGTTACGAGGTGAAGCACAGTGAAAATACCGGGCGACGTTCTGGATGAACACTGGCAAAGTAGCAGCACAGCAAATGAAACTCGCTCCTACAGCCTTACACTGATGCTTCCTCTTCCTAGCTGAAGCAAGCAGACAATAAATAGCAATAGAAAACCCCAGAATAAGTGGAGGTATATTTATACCTCTACAAAAGGATTAAAACCCAACATTACTACCTATCCCAACATCCATTAAAGAGGATCTTTCTTGTTTACTTGTAAATATGCTTTTCAATTAAAGCAATTACCGTAGTGCTCCTGCCAGCAAGTTAGATCCTCCCTAGTGACGTTCACCCTACTGAGATGCTCTATTATTCTCCAACATCTTCTCCAAGCAGCTGTTGTGTCCAGTCCCCTTGGTGCAGATGATTATTCTGCTGCAAAAGATGCTGCCTTTGTTTTTTTGTTTTTTTAATTTTTCCAGTGTATATTGGTATTAGCACTCTGGGCTGCAGACTGGAGGAGCAGAGAGGCAGATACACACCCTGACCTTGTCACAGGGCAGTAGTGATTTTAACTGACCCCACTTAAATCCCCCACCAGCAGGGGAGGCCAAAGGCTTAAAACAACCCAAACCCATAGGTTTACTTAAGTCGGAACACTCTGATAAAGGAAACACAGAGTCTGACACTAGTAGTCCTTGGCCCCATTATTTCTTCAGAACTACTCTGGTGCAGTTAAGAGAGCTGGGACTTTGTGACAATTTGGTAGCAGTTTGCTTCACAGCACAGGCAGGCAGAGTAAAAGGTTTTTTCTCCTTTGGTTTGGTTTGGTTTTCCACCCTACAACCAAACAGGATAAAAATACAACGGTTTAGGGAAGAAATACAAGGTGTGCCCAGCTCACTTGCTTGGGACTAGCAATTCAAGCAACTAAGGTCTCAGAAAATCTGTTGAAATATCATGCCAAGAACAATGTTTTAGAAAGGACACGTTACAGGTATTTTAGCATTATTATCTTCTGGGATTCCTCTATTAAAAGCATTATGCATGCTTCTTCATTACAAAAAACGACACGAGTTTTGAAAAACCACAGAGGATTCAAAAGCACATGCATTAATTGTACTGGGCTTTGAAGAATCTGGTTCACAGTCCTACAAAAAGGATAACAGGAGAGCAAGCAGGAAGGCTTTTCCCTTCACAGCCTGCTACTGACAGTTTTGAAAGTGCCCACTCTGGTGCAGGTCCTTCTAGTTTAACTCCAGAGCAGAGGTGAGCTGTGCAGAGCGGCCGCACCACTGAGAAGGGAACCTTTCAATAAAACTGAGCATGCCTCTCCACGTTTGCGTGTGAAAGTGCACCCTGTTCAACCTGAGCGAGAGATGAGCCGCTTGTTAAAGGCACTAACTGCAGGCAGCTGTTCTCAGTTACTGTATTACATCGAGAACAGCGCTGAGACGCATTAAAATGGCTGTCAACATCCATGGATTAGCATGAGGAAAAGTTTTCTCTACATGTGACAGCCAGGTTCATGTACTGGCAGGTTCATGTCATGCTACAGACTGTTACCATTTCATTTGTCCACCTCTGTACGTATCATGCAAGGCAGAAGCAAGAAATCAAATTTCTAAGTTGACTTTGACTTTCTGGACACTTCCTCAGTGAGGAGCAGCATTGCCCAGGCATCAGAATGTGCTTTTTAAAGCTAAGACTGGAGAGGCATACATGTGAAGAGTGGAAAAATGTTGCCTCTCCTACTAAAAATTCACAAACAAGTTAGATTTGCTCATGACAATAGGCATACTTTAATCCAATATGGTCTTTCAAAGTACCTAGACACACTTTCACATGATCCCTGAATTATTCAGAGGATAAACCCAGCACAGTAGGAAATACCACTCCAAGCCATGGTATTTGTGAAAAGCTCCCGGACTGCATCTACAACCCTAATGACCTTTCTAAAGGATGAGAAAACCCAGGAGCTTTACAGAATCTTTAAGAACTTGGTATCTTGCCACAGGATTCAACACAATTTCTGTTGCAAGCTGTGAGGTGCTTAATGATTATGTAAGAACCTTAAAAACATGACTGTGCAAAACCAGGGGCAGACGTGAGGGGCCCAAGACGTTGAGTCAAAAAGCCTCGGTCGCATCATTGAGTTTAGAGCACACCCAAGAGTCAGACAGATGAGATCAGCACGTCTGACTTCACACCTGTCCTGCAATTCAGTGCTTTCCGTGGCCACGTGTGCCTCTTTCCTCAACAGAGTGTGAGCAGGTGGGATTGAGCAATGGGAAAGCTGGGATCCAACTGGCAGCCAGGAAGCAGGAGCAACTTTAATGAGAGCCAAAGCGATCTCTTGTTAGGCTCAGAAGTGGCTGCAGGACACTGGGAACTGCTCTTAACTGCCCAGCTCCACACGACCAAGGAGAACAGCTAAGCAAGCAGATTCAAACTTTCAGTCCTGTGTTTGCTTAGTTAATAGTACAGTCAGAGGAAGTTTGAATGTTTTGATACCAGAGATGCCGTTCAGAGTTAACAGGAAAATGAAACTTCAACAGCTATTTTAAAAGAAACTGGGTTCAAGTAACTCTAAAGACTGGATGGCTTTGGAGTCCTGACCTGACAGTACAGCTGGACCAAACCCTGACAAAACTAACTGAGAATTTTAACTATTGCTATGTGATTTCACGGTTTTAAAATAAATACTGCCCACTGGGAGCAAGTGCTGCTTACAGCTGACTTTACAGACAGGATATTTTTTTCCAGATTCCAGGACAATTTCCTTTATTAATAAGTAGTCTCATTAATTTACAAGCCTGTGGCCCTCGTATTTTAAGATGCAACATGTCCTCAAAAGAACAGGAGACTGGGTGAGTTTATGCAGCTCAGTAATATAACTTAAAACAGCAATGTAATCATACTACAGCCTGAAAAACAATCCGACTTCTTCACAAGAAGCAGCTGTTTCAACAGTAAGTGTCTGAGCTCAGAGGCAGTACTCCCACTGCTGACCCAGTTGTGATTACAGAGTTACTGGACTGCATTAACACCAGGACTGTATTCTTGTGTCCTGTGACAGCAAAGAAACAGCACGGTCTTACTGAAGGGCTGTCAGCTAACAAACACATGTCTGCTACATCACATCAAAGAGCACATTAAACTAGATGTGCTTATACTGTCCAGGAACACCGTAACGATGCTTTTAAATGCAGAGGACACTGAAACCTTGCTGCAGCAGGGCAAGGGAAATACTGATGCTCCTGGAGCCCATACAGGATGTGTATGCACAGTAAAATCCATGGTACTCTGCTTGGCAGGGAGGTAAGACTGTCAGATCACAGCTGGTTTATCTAGTACTGATATACAAAGGCTTAAATTTTAAGCCTTAAATTAAAGTTGACTTTTGAGTGAACTTCCCAACCCGTGCTATAGTAGCATGAAATGCAACTCATGATCCTTTCCCCAACCTGTATCACATCAGCATGAAATAAGACTGTGAGACTTTTCCTCCTACAGCCCAAAGCCAGGTGCAGAACACCAAAACAACAGTTTCTCAGGCATACCTCGGATCCTGGCCAAATCCAGGACGTGCCCATGTGAAGTGAAACTCACCCACCAGATGTTCCCAAGCCTTTCTGTCTGCATAATTTGCTTGTCAGATGGTATAAACGCAGGACCCTCTCACAGCAGAGATGGAGACCTCGCCTACGAGCAGATGCACTGTGCAAGACTTCCCAACTGCCAGGGAAAGGCTCTCCAAACCCTTCGCTGTGACAGGGGCTCCCCAGCTATGTACAGGATGCAGATGATCAGTATTTGGGCAATTGGTGATGGATCTTTCTTAATCACTATGCGTTCTCTTATGTAGCACTAGTTAGGTGCATTACCTTGTTTAACTCTGTACCTTGGTTATTCTTCTTTTTCCCCTGTTTTGAACTAGACTAAAATAAGTTTGTTTCTAGTGTTCAGTTGGTGTCTGTGTCCTTTTTGCCAGCCCCGTCAAAACAAGTCCTAGTTACCTGAAGGGATGAGCAGTTTCTTGAGAGTCTTGAACAACAGAGAAATAATGCAAGCTTACCAGTGCTCCTTGCCCACCCAAGAGAGCATGTTTTCAGAAATCAGATGATTTAGAATCGTACAAAAATCTAAGACATAAGTGTTGGTTAACCTGGAATGGAAAGAGTTTACCTTAAGCTGTCCCACTACCATACTGAGTATACAGCTGTCAGGTGTAGGCTGGTGGTCTTGTGCTGTGATGCTGTGTTGTATTTTTTGGAAAGGGAGGCTCTACAATGAAAAGAAAGTAAAATAAGGAAGCGTACAGTCACTGAATCATTTAACTTACAAAACAAGGATTGAGCAAATCCAACATTATAAAGTGTTAGACTGTTCTGGCAGTACTGCCTGGAGCGGTGTTGAAACTCAACACTACTCAGGCTGTTTTGATCATAACAATTTTGTTTTTCAAGCACTTAGACATGAAAGAATATGTCACCTGATACATTAAGCAGTACCTTTTTCTAGTATAATTACACTGCCCAGAGAGCTTCAGTTCATCTACAAGCTGGAAGTCCATATGATGAAGGCACAAAGCTTCTCTGCTCTGAACAGCGGTAAAAGATTGTATCATCTAATAGTTGAGGTTTACCAGACAACCCCAAATTTGCTTCTTTGTGGAAGTGGCTAGGGACACAAAGGAAAGGTGGTTGACCAACAACCAGTGTTCACAACTTGAAACCCACAAATCCACCTTCCCCCTTTTTTCTTTCTTTCCTTCTTATTAGCACCTGAGGGGAACCAAAACAGCAACAGGCACCATCTTTGCCATTTACCAGGCAGGAGCAGGGGGAAAGGAGGAGGAGGAGGAGATCAAAAGCACACATATTGAAAATAAAAAAATAATAATAAAAAAAAGCAGCTTTCCATGCTCGTGTACAAGTACATCTGGAGTTCAGTGTGCAACAAACACACCTTGAGAAACACCAGGCACTGGGGAGCGATTCCTCTCTTTCCACTTAGACCACGTTGACATTCCAGCCATGGATGACTCCAAGTGGAGAACATCAAGTATCCAGGGGATCTCAGAGCCCTGTCACACAAATGCAGTTTTGGCACTGTTCTATCAGAAGCTGCGTTAACGCCAGATGCTTTGGAAGTGGCAGTTCAGCATGGATGGAGCTCTGAGTGACCATACCCAGAGTCCATCCGCTTCACAGGATAGCGGCACGTGGTCATTTAAACCTCAGGTTGTACTCTGACACCTTTGCTTCAGTTCCCTGATTTGTTAAGAGGTTGAGGTAGACCCAAACACGTACCCTGACAAGTTCTGCATTTCACTCTAGTGGAAGGAGCCTGAAAGACTTCCTAGAAGGCCCAGGTACAAGAACAGGAGCCATGAATCCTACCACCAAGGATGTGAAGTACAGACTTGGCCCTGACAAGTATAAGGCTTCAGGAAGAATACCAGGAAGTTAAATCCTTGATAATGGAGAACACAGAAACCGTGGAAGGATCAGTACCTGGGGAAGCAAAGGAAGTGAACAGAGGGACACTAGTCAAGAACACTCTCATAAAGCCTGCAGTGTTTTATCTTGGCTGGGAGAACAATCCCAACCTACCACCAACTGCACAGTGAGCCACTGGTTTGTAATACAGAATGGACATCTGGGGGAAAGGAGGGAGGGAGGGA